TCCTATGTACAACTTTAAGCTGGATCAAATAAGATGAGACCAGGATGAGGAAGATCTGTTATTGGCATCATCCCAAATATCTTGGTTCGACTGGATTCCCAACTCTTTATCCCATGCATTTCTAAGTTTGATATTAGATCAACCCTTAGATTTAAATTAAAACTATAAATCTTTGAAATCGTACCTTTCTGGATGGGATTAAATGCAACATATTTTCCCCCAGGGCTTGTAAACGGTTTTCTATCCCTACTGGACCCGGTTCATGTCCCTCTAAACAAATTGCTGCTCATTTACAGACATTTTTATTGCAGTAAAAGTTTTTTTTTCTCTGTTCACTGTAAATATTTGTAAAACAAATATCTGAGAAAAGAATTCAGTCAGTAACGCTTCTAGCCGCCCTGATGCTGAGGTTCTGTCCACTTGTTGGGACCGATGTCCTCCTCACACGTTCTCCATCTCTTCATTCCCTGCCAGATTATCAACCTCTGCTTCATCCTCTTCTACCTCTTTGAAATGAGTGTGAAGATATTTGCCTTTGGCTGGAGGGGGTACCTGTCCTACAGGAGCAACATATTTGATGGCTTCCTCACCGTTCTCTTACTGGTAAAACACTCAACACCGCCACAGCTTTCAAACCAACTGATTCAGGCTGCGCCTTCAATCCTCTCCAGGAAAGGCAGCAGAGTAACTCCAGGTGTGGGTGGGCGGAGGATCCTTACAGCACAGCAGCATCACTCTGGGAGGAAAACCTCTAAATGAACCTAAGCGTGTGACTTAGTAGACATTGAGTGGTTGACTTTGCAGCAATGCCTCACATTCTGCATCCTTGCAGCAGGAGAATTTGAGGCCCAAATGTTCTCTAGAACCACAGCTGTATTCTAGGATCTTAGATCTAAGGCTTGTTTGTTCACATGCTGTCAGTGTGGAACTAAAACATCATGCAAGATCATTACTTTCACAGCAGAATTTAATGTTGGTTTCTGTCTCTGTGGATTTTCTCCATCTAGATCCTACAGATTGCTATATTCATCACCTACAGGCTTCCATACTCCCAGTGGTAGGTGTGAGTCTGATTCTGTGACCTCCTCTAACTGCTGAGGCAGAGTTTGAATTCATGCAGTAGTGGAAGTTTACCAGCCATTTGGATTAAACGTGAGCAGATGTCCTGTAGGTCTCCCCATGGCTGCTCTCAGTAGACTCTCTGTCTGTGACCACAGGGAGCCCTCGGCTCATGCTGGGATGTCTCTGTGGGAGATGATTCGTCTGGTCAACATGCTGATCGTCTTCCGCTTCCTGCGCATCATCCCAGATATCAAGGTACAAACACACCTGCTAAGACCATGGACTAAGCTACCATCCATCCATCCATCAATTCATCCCCCATCTAGGGCTGGGTACCGAACATCGGTTCTTTTATGGCACCGACCGAAATGCTTCGGTTCTACAGAGTATCAAAACATGCCTCATCTTTCGGTACCAAGTTTTGGTGATTGGCTGTAACACTTAACGTCATTGCGTCATCCAGGAAAAATACACAGGTGGTCCCGCCAACAGCCTGGGTTCATGTTAATCTGTTGATAACTGGATGC